CCCCCAGGTAAAGGCGGCCCCCCCCCCCCGGACGCGCTGTCCGCTGGCTCCTGTCCACGCCCCTCCCTCCGACACCGCGCAGCTCGGGCCGGAGAGCGCCGGAGCTGCCGTCCCTGCTGCCTGTGCGGGGACGGAGGGGCTGGTGGGAGGGGCTGGCGTGGACAAGGATGCCTGGTTGTGGGGTGGGCACAGGGCCCGGGCTCGCTGAGCAGACAGACAACTTCATCGGGGACAGAAGCACGCCGAGTGGCGGGGGCGGAGGCCCTGGTCCTAAGTGCGGGACAGAGTGCTGGGGACCAGGACACCGGAGAGGGTGTCGGTGGGGTTAGCAGCCCCTCTCGGGCCTCTTGTGAGCAGAACTCACGCTGGCAACACTGGGCGGGCCCTGAGGTCACGGCTGTCCCGGCCCCCAGGGCCACAGCTGTGATGAGGCTGTGGGCCCAGCATTCCCACGGCCAGGCCACAGGAGCCGCCGCACTTCCTGCCCGCGTCAGCCACGGGCGCACGGTCCCACCGCAGCCGGACGGTGAGCCTCTCTCTGCTTCCCCAGCCAGGGCGCCGAGCTGATGGGGCTGCAGGTGGATTACTGGACGGCAGCCCAGCCCGCAGACAGGAAGAGAGACGCCGAGAAGAAGGACCTGCCTTCTGCCAAAAGCACGCTCAAGTGCACCTTCCGGTCTCTCCAGGTCAGCAGGCTGCCCAGCAGTGGCGAGGCCGCAGCCACGCCCACCATGTCCATGACCGTGGTCACCAAGGAGAAGAACAAGAAGGGTGAGTGGGGGCTGTCATAGGGGCAGGCACCCATAGGCCCTTCCACGTGCCACCAGGCGGGGTGTCCCTGTGGGCAGGGGTCCCAGGCCCCCCCGCCCCCGAGGAGGCAGCAGGCCAGCACACCCCTCTCCTCCTAGTGATGTTTCTGCCCAAGAAGACCAAGGACAAGGACGTGGAATCCAAAAGCCAGTGCATCGAGGGCATCAGCCGGCTCATCTGCACAGCCAAGCACCAGCAGAACATGCTGCGGGGTGAGTGTGGCCTCCTCCCCGCCCTGACGCTGGCCCCTGAGCCCGGCCCGGCCCCGGTGCTGTCTGGAGCAGGAAGGCAGCTTTCTAAGCCAGCTCAGCCGTGCCTTGGTTTGGCTGCTCCAGCCGGGCCTCGGCCTCGCTTCTCTGAGGCACTGAGTGTGCGACAGCTTCTCCTTTCTGAGCAGTGAGTTGGTGACCCCTCTGCTCCTCGGAGGAGGCGTTTCTGAGCCTCTGTCTTCTCTGCGTGAGGCGGGAGGGGCTGGGGGGGGTCCTCTGTCCGAGGGCTCGGCTCGTGCTGGCGACCTGGGGGTTGAGAACTCTGCCTTGCTGCCCTGACTGGTTTCATGGAGGGTGTTTCCCACCGTCTGCAGACCCTGCGGGGGCAGCGGGTGTGAGGACCAGCGGCCCCCACGCCGGGGAGAGGCGGCCACGGGTGGCTCGGAGGGCAGGCGGCAGAAAGGCCTGGCCAGCAGGTCGTCGTCCCCCGAGAGCCTGGGGGTCGCTGGGGGAGTCGGGCCCCATCAGTGCCCCGGGCCCCGGCCGGAGGGCGGGCGCGCCGTGGTCCCGAGCGGGTGCGTCAGGCGGTCTTGTCCCCGCAGTCCTCATCGACGGCGTGGAGTGGAACGACGTGAAGTTCTTCCAGCTGGCGGCCCAGTGGTCCTCCCACGTCAAGCACTTCCCCATCTGCATCTTCGGACACTCCAAGTCCCCCTTCTAGCCCCGCTCGCCCGCGGCCCGACCCGGGGCTGCTGCTTCTAACATTTCAGTTTACGACACAGACCTGGAAACACAACAGAACTGTCTTACGTGCGACTGTGCTACAACCTGGGAACTAACGGGGCGGCCCCGAAGCCCCGCCGCTCCGCTTATTAACCAGCCGCCCGGCGGGCGGGCGGGCCCGCGGAGCGGGAGACTCCAGGAAGGCGTGTTTCGGCCTCAGGACCCCTAACACTCCGCGAGAAGGGTTCTCGCCTTCTCCACCTGCCCTTCCTGGGGCCAGGACTCCACTTCCCCGGGAGCCGGCTCGGCCTGCACCCAGGACTCCGCCTCCTAGCCCCACAGCCTCGGCGCCGGGCGGCCAGGGGCTGGCCCCTGCTGGGCGTCCTGAGCAAAACCTGGAGCAGCCAGCGGCCCGGGCAGCTGCCAACCAGCCGTGTCCCGCCGCCTGCCGTGGTTCCCAGTGACTCCATCCCCCAAGGAGCTGGGTTACAGCAGCAGCTATTTTTAATGCTTTTAAATACACGTTACAATGTGGCTGCCAAACGTTCATCGCTCTTCAGTCCCACGTCCCAGCCAGCCCCCACCCCAGCCCAGCCACACCGCCTCTGGGACCCGCTCCCACCGTGGCTCTGAGACACCCTCTGCCTCCAAGTGTCCCTGCCCCAGACTTGGCAGGCACGTGGCCTCCCTCCTTGCCCCACCCCCAGCCCCACCTGCTGGTTGGGGGCAGGCTGGGGCACAGCAGCATTGGGGTGGCCCGTGGACGCTCAGGCACGGTGGCTGGGCACTGTGAGAGCTGTAGGGACAGCCAGAGGACCCCGCAGGGGCCTGATGGCCTCTGGGTCCTATCCTAGTTGGCAGCCCCACCCTACACCTCCCCACACAGCCAGCATCTCCCCAGCCTTGCTGCACCCCCAAAACCCCACATCCCAGGTCTCCGCAGGGAGGGCCCTGGCAGCCCCTCACCTTCCCCCCCGGAGGCTGTCCAGGACCCGAGTGTTCATGCCACGGGCTTTGGGCCGGGTGGCAGATCGGACTCGGACATGGACGTGGGTGCAGCCCAGGCCTCGGACCCTGTGGGCAGAGTGCTGGGCCAAGGGCCCTCCCAGGGAGCACCTCTTAGCTCAAATACTCCTTCCACCAGGGCCAGGACCGTGCCTGAGGCGGACCTGGGCTTGGGGCGGCCACGGAGCCCACAGCCCCTCGGGCAGCGCCGCCTGGGCCATGCCCCTGCAGCCAGCCCGGAGGCCTGAGCATCCCACTCCTCCCCAACACCAGAGCCGGTGCCCGGTCACCGCTCAGCAGGAAGGAAGCAGGTGGGGGTGACAGGCCCTTGACCTGCCTTCTAGCCTCAGAGCTGGCTTTGGGGGAGGTGGCCACGCGGGGCTGTCCCGTCCATCCTGCCCCTGTGCCTCCCTGTCCACTTCACAGCTGTGCTCTGTACCCTTGGGGAAAGGGCACCTGGCACCTCTACTCTGTGACCCAGGTCCTGCAGAGCTGCCCCCCGTGACACCATCCCCGGGCCTGGGAAGTGAAGAGGCGCCTCGGCCACCGTGATCCGCTGAGACCTGGGCTGCGGCCCATTGCCCGCTGGCGCTCAGCGATGGCTCCCCGGCCTGCCCCAGGGCTGTCCTGAGGACATTGTGTGCACCAGCCTCTGTCCCTCGCAGGCGGGGAGCCAAAACTGCTGAGCGGGGCGGGCAGTGTTGTGCCCAAGTGTCATAAACCCCAAAGACTACCACGGAGCCGAATCCGATGCAATTGCAGAAAGCCTGTATTTATTTCCGACTAGTCCGAGCTCGCTTACACCAGCGATGGCATGGCGGGAGAGAGAGGATTTAACATAATGGGTTTTATAGGGGGGTGCCACTACCTTGGCTGACCTGATTGGTTGGGTTAGGGCTAGGGTCCAGTTACCGGGAGCTGGCCCCGCCCCGCCCTGCCCTCTCACAGTGGGGGCAGCAGTGTGGGCACCTCCGGCAGGCCACCCCTCAGGGGCCAGGCCAGTCCTGGGTGCTGTGGGCAGGCTCTGCACCCAGCCTCCTGCCTGTCGCTCGGCCCCGGGGTCAGGGCCAGGCTGGGGAGGAGGCCGCTGAGCGAGGGGGCTCCGTGCAGAGGCCATGGCTCCCCAGGGGCCGAGGCGGCCTCGCGGCAGTCACCGCAGGCGCGGACCTGACTGCCGGGTGGGTCTGGCCCCAGAACGCACACCTGAAGGGCCAGCTGCGGACCCGTTTTCATCGCCCCGCCCGCCCTGGCCTCCGTGGGGCGGGAGGAGGGAGGCGCGGGGCCGAGCGGGGTTGAAAGGGAAGCAGGGCCCCGGGGCGTGAAGCGCCTTTGGGAGCAGCCGCGGGCCGCGCGGTCAGGACACCGGTGCACTGAGGCCGCCGGCCCGCGCCGCGGGGGGGGGGGGGGGGGGGGGGGAGCTGCAGGCTCCGGCCCGGCCGCGTGGCGCCCCCGGCGGGCGGGCTCCAGGGCGCAGGCTCGCACGGCCGGAAGCGGAAGCGGCGGGTGGGGCCTGCAGCGGAAGTCGCTGGGTTGAGGCCCTTTGGGCTTCCAGAATTCTGTGGGCCCCACCCCTGCCCTTCGACCTTCCCCCCGCCGTGCGCCCCGCCCCTCCCACCCCCACGCCGGTGCGCCCCGCCCCTCCCCCACCCCCACGCCGGTGCGCCCCGCCCCTCCCCCACCCCCACGCCGGTGCGCCCCGTCCCTCCCCCACCCCCACGCCGGTGCGCCCCGCCCCTTCCCCACCTCCCCCCAATACCGTGTACCTGCCCGCCCCCACCCCGTACCCCAGGGTGCCCCGCCCCCTCTGTGTCCAGTATGCCCCGCCCGCCCCTCCTTCGCACCCCAGGGTGCCCCCTCTCCCGCTGTCACCCCATCTGCTCTCCCCTGACCAGCACCCCCCCCCCGTGGGCCCCTCCCGGTCCCTGAGAGTCCTGGTGGGGGTGGGGTGAGGTCACACCGCTGCAGGTGAGGTCACAGGGTTCGGAGGCGGGGGTCTCACCAGCGGGGCCTGTGCCGGAGCCGAGCCAGGTGGGGCCTGGGCCGGGGCCGGCGGGGCCTGGGATGGGGACCGAGGGGCGGCCCCTCGGGGCCATGGGGAGCCAGGCCAGGGGCCGCAGGAGCTGAGCCGGGGTCCCGTGGCCCCTGTGGGGTGGCAGCGCCTGGGGCCGGCCCCGGGGACAGTGAGCCGGGCAGAGCCTGAGGCCTCCGTCCGCGGGGCAGGCGCCGCGGGGACCGGAGCGGCGGGCGCCGGCCATGAGCAGCCAGAAGCACCTGCGGGAAAGGCCCGCCGGGAAGACGCCGGGGCCCTCGCCCTTCCAGGAGCGCGCGCCGCCCTCGCCCCTGCCCGCGCAGGGCTACACCCAGCAGGCGCCGGAGCCGCAGGACTGGGTAAGGAGGCTCCCGCGCCGCCGCTCTGGGCGCGCTCAGCGGCGGACGGGGGCCCAGGGTACAGGCTCTCCCCTCAGCCCTGGTTGGGCGCCACTGGGCTTGCCGCCCTCCTGCCTCCACAGCTGCAGGCCGTCCGCCCGCCTCTGCTGGGCCCTGGGAGGGGCCCCGAGACCAGGAGAGCGGCCTGCTTCACCCTCACAGCGCCTCACCCCGGAGCCCCCTGTGCGGCCCCAGCCTCAGTTCCCGCACAGCAGCCGCCGCCAGAGTGGGCGCCGGAATTCCCTGCGGGTCCCCGTGTGTCAGGGTCAGAGCCCGGACCAGCCGGGTCACACGGTGCGTGACGTCAGAATGGGGGCCCGAAGAGCCGAGTCCCCAGACAAGTCGGCTCAGAGGTTGGCGTGAAAAGGTGGCAGCATGCCAAAACCGGTGTGGCTCAGTGGATAGAGCGTCTGCCTGCGGACTGAAGGGTCCCGGGTTCAATTCTGGTCAAGGGCATGTACCTTAGCTGCTGGCACATCCCCAGTGGGGGGTATGCAAAGGCAGCTGATTGATGTTTCTCTCTATCCCTCTCAATTTCTCTCTGTGTAAAATCAATAAAATATTTAAAAAAAAAAAAAAAAAGAAAAAGAAAAAGAAAAAAAAGTGGCAGCGGCCTGGCCGGTGTGGCTCAGTGGACAGAGTGTCAGCCTGCAGACTGAAGGGTCCCGGGTTCGATTCTGGTCGAGGGCATGTACCTGAGTTTCAGGCTCCATCCCCAGCTCTGGTTGGGGTGCCTGCAGGAGGCAACCAATGGATTGTCTGTCTCCCATCGATGTTTCTCTCTCTCCACTCTAAAAAGCAGTGGGAGGACTAAAAACCCCACACAACACAAGTGTGGTTAAACGAACAGGTGGCGGGCGAAGGCGCGGCTCCCGGCTGCCCCTGAGGCCGCTCTGTGCCTCCTGGCCGGGTCCTCCACCTCCGAGGTGGGGGCCCCTCGGCTGACTCAGCCCAGCAAGCCAGGCCGCCAGAGCTCAGTGTGCCGCCTGCGGGGTCCTCCGAGGGCCGGCGGCTGGTGGGCAGGTTTGCAGTTCTCAGAGGAAGGCAGGCAGGCGCCGTGGGCTCGGGCAGGGGGCCGAGGCCGGCAGGCAGGAGAAGAGAGAGGATAGAAAGGCCCCGGGGAGCAGGCTCCGAGGAGAGGGGTTTGGACAGACACCCAGAAGGGATTGCAGACCCCTGTTTGCGGGCTCCCAGATGTGGTTTGGGGGTGCAGAGTCCCCTCAATGTTTCCCACATGCTGGTCCTCTTTCCCCTCTCATCTGACCTCTGTCTCCCGCCGCTCCCAGACCCTGAGGGACGTCCGCTGTGCCCTGAGGGATGCCCCGGCCTCGCTCCCCGCCTGCCCTGCGTGGTGTCCGCCCCCCCCCCCCCCCCGGCCCCTGCAGCAGGCCCGGTTCCTCCAGACCTTCCCGCACTGGCCCTTGGCAGGCACCCCCTCCCAGGGAGCCCCACACTGACTGACACCAGTCAACCCCACCTTTCCCTTTGTTCCTGCCCTTCCCAGCCAGGGCCCAAGGGAGCCGCCCTGACCTGCAGGGTTCTCCCCTGGGTGCCCAGTGCTCAGTGTGAGGACATTTCTCTCTCCCTTATCCTCTCCCTATCTGAAATCAATAAAAAGTTATTTTAAAAAAATAATTCCTATCACCTCACACCTGTCAGAATAGCTATCTATCCTCAGCAAATAGCAAGTGCTGGTGAGGATGTGGAGAAAAGGAACCTTTCTGCACTGCTGGTGGGAAAGCAGATGGTGCAGGCGCTGTGGAGAATGGTGTGGAGTTTCCTCAGAAATTAAAAATGGAGGGAATTTGATCCAGTGATCCCACCTCTAGAACTAGATCCCAAAGAAACAGAAACACAAAGGATATGCACCCCTATGTTCATAGCAGAATTTACAATAGCTAAGATTTGGAAACAGCCCAACTGCCCATCAGCAGATGAATGGATTGAAAAACGGTGGTACAGGGGGAGAGAACCAAGATGGCGGCATAGGTAAACATCTATACTTGCTGTCTCACAACCACATCAATATTACAGCTAAAAGGCAGAACAATCCCCACCCAGAACTACAGGAAAGCTGGCTGAGTGGGAGTTCCACAACCAGAGGTGAAGAAAGCACAGTGAGATGTAAGAGGACTGGAGGCACGGAAAGTGCTGGCACCTGGATGTGCCTCTCTTTTAATACAAGTTCCTGCTTTGAACTCCAGTTCCGGGCAAGACTCTGAGGGACCCAGACACATACAGGGAGAAACTGGACTGTCTGACATTGGGACAGGAATGCGAGGGCAGCTTTCTCTCAGAGGTGCTCCCAGCGATCATTGTTCCTGCACAGGGGCACAGAGTGCAGAGACCCAGGGACCTCTCTGGTGCAGGACTGACTGGCAGCCTTTGCTGTTTGCTCTGCCCTGGTGATTTCCAGAGACCCCACCCCACCCAATTTACAACCCCACCCAACTGTGCGCATCAGCTTTTGCATATGAATGGCCTGTCCTTGCTCAGCCTAAAACTTGTCAAACTTGCAGCTGGGTCAGAGAGCCACAGAGCTTCCAAATGAAGGCCCAAGGCCCAGTGGCAGCAGCCTGCCTTGCTTCACAGCTGGGCCTCGTCTGGGCACTTTCAAATCCCATACAAAGAAGAGGAATCTGCAGATCTCTCTGTAGCACCTGCTGGGTGGTCCCAGAAAGTACTGACTTTGCACCTCCTTGGAGATCCAAGAGCCAGTGTACCCAGCGGTAAGAGTGAGACCATGCCAGACTACAACCCTTCACATCCATAAGAGACACATTTAGGGAGAAGATTCAGTAGCACCAAAGCCCCACTGAAGCAAGTCCTACCTCACAAGGGTGTCTCCTGTGCAGCAGTTCTTCCACTGTAGACACAGCTAGTCCGCACAGCCAATTGACCTGGAAGGCAATTCCTCCCAATGATACCAACAGCAATCAAGGCTTAACTATAAGATTGTGCACACAGCCCACAAAGGGGTGCACCACAAGTGTCCACCTCAGGTGATTGGGGAGGCTGAGCCACTAAGCTCTATAGGACACCTACCACACAAGGCCATTCTGTTAACACAGGGAAGCTGTCAAAATTTGGAGACAATGAAACATCACAAATGACAGAAATGGAGGACAACAAACTACTGGATATAGAGTTCAAAACCTCTTGATAAGGTTACTCAAGAATCTTCTAGAAACCTCTGAGAAATTTAGTGAGACCCTCAAGGATATGAAAAAGGACCAATCAGAAATTGAGCATACACTGACTAAAATAAATAATACTATACAGAGATCCAACAGCAGACTAGAGGATCCCAAGAATCAAGTCAAAGATTTGAAATACGAAGAATCAAAAAACACCCAACCAGAAAAGAAAAAAGAATCCAAAAATATTAAAATAGTATAAGGAGCCTCTGGGACAACTTCAAGCATACCAACATCCAAATTTTGGGGTTGCCAAAAGGAGAGAGAGCAAGATGCTGAAAACCTATTTGAAGAAATAATGTCAGAAAACTTCCCCCACCTGGTGAAAGAAAGAGATTTACAAGTCCAGGAAGTGCAGAGAACCCCAAACAAAAGGCATCCAAAGAGGACCACACCAAGACACATCATAATGAAAATGCCAAGGGCAAAAGACAAAGAGAGAATCTTACAAGCAGCGAGAGAAAAACTGTTAGTTACCTACAAGGGATTACCCATACAACTGTCAGCTGATTTCTCAACAGAAACTATGCAGGCCAGAAGGGAATGGCAAGAAATATTCAAAGTGATGAATAGCAAGAACCTATAACCAAGATTACCCAGCAAAGCCATCATTCAGAATTGAAGGCCAGATAAAGAGCTTCACAGATAAGAAAAAGCTAAAGGTGTTCATCACCACCAAACCAGTATTATATGAAATGCTGAAAGGTATTATTTAAGAAGAGAAAGAAGAAGAAAAAGGTAAAGATAAAAATTATGAACAACAAATACATATTTATCAACAAGTGAATCTAAAAATCAAGTGAATAAAAAACCTGATGAACAGAATAAACTGGTGAATATAATAGAATTAGGGTCATAGAAAGGGAGTGGGCTGACAATTCTTGGGGGAAATGGGCTGTGGGGTGCAGGAAGAGACTGGACAAGGAGCTTACACCTATGAATGAGGTCTGTAGGGGTGGGGGGAAGGCCTGGAGTAGGGTGGGAACCAGGTGGAGGGGAGTTACGGGGGGGCGGGGGGGAGAGGAACAACTGTAATAAACTAAACAAAGATTTAAAAAAACATCTGTGGTTCATCTACTCAACGGAATACCACGCTGCTGTAAAAAATAAAGAACTTTTATATTTGCAACAGCATGTACGGACCTGGAGAGCATTATGCTGAGCCAGTTGGAGAAAGATATATATTACAAGATCTCACTCACTTGTGGAATATAATGAACAACAGAAACTGATGAACAAAAATAGACACAGAGACGAAGAAGCACCGAACAGACCATCAAAGCTCAGACGGAAAGTGGGGAGGGAGCTGGGAGTTCAACCAGAGGACTTGTAGGCATGCGTCTGAGCACAGCCCGGGGGCACAGCCAGGAGGAGGGTGAGGGCATGTGCTGGGGGGAGAGGTCAATGGGGGTGGAGGAAACATAGGTAATACTTTCAACAATAACGTATGTTCTAAAAATCCTTTTTAAAAAAAGAAAATCAAGACATTGACCAAAACAGTTTGGGGCGGAGACTTTCCCGTAACCCAGTGGTCGGGAACTCAGTCCACAGAGCCAAATATCAACAGCGCAACGATTGAAATTTCTTTTGAGAGCTAAACTTTTTAAACAACTTCCAAGGCCACTTCTTCAACATAGACTCGCCCAGGCCGTGGTATTTTGTGGAAGAGCCACACTCAAGGGGCCAAAGAGCCGCATGTGGCTCTCGAGCCACAGTTTGCCCGAGAGGACTAGAGGAAACCCTGGACTCGGGCGGCCCTTCTAGCCGAGCCTCAGCGTCCAGAAACCACGAGGGAAAGGGACACGGTGAACGGCGAGGAGGGCAGCAGCTCTGCCGAGGGAGAAGCCGCACGGAGGGAGCTGCGGCTCCTGGGCGGTGCTGGGCCGGACTTCTCAGCCGGAGGTGCCGGGAGCCCCTGGCTGTGGAGACAGAAGCCCTGGCGCTGCCGGCGGAGCAAGCTTGTCCAGGCGGGTGGCTCCGGGCGGACGTAAGGCCCAGCAGCTCCCTCTCGGGGAGACCAGGAAGGGAGACGCAGCAGATGTTTGCAAACCCATGTTCCCAGCAGCCTCTGCACAGCACCCAGAGTGCCAGCCGCCAGCGTCCACCTGTGCCACGTACCCTCCACCCTGTCCCGGCTCCACGTGGACGGGCCTTGGGGACGTCAGGCTGAGTGCAGTGAGCACGCAGGACAGACGCTGTGGGAGCCACGTGCCTGTGGTCTCTGGAAGCGTGAGCTCAGGTGAGAGATGGTGGCAACCAGTGGCCGGCGGGGAGGGGGAGCTGGGCAGGGTGTTTGTGTTTTGTTAATCCTCAGGACTTTACAGGGGAGGGAGGGAGGGAGGGGCTTTGTGTGTAGCTCCCCTATTTGTGCATCTTTGGTTGCTTCCTATATGTGCCCTGGCCAGAGATCGAACCCAAAACCTATGCGTATTGGACGGTGCTCTGACCGCTCAGCCACCTCCAGGGCCCAAGAAGTTCTGTGCAGCTGCAGAGCTCCCCGGAGTGAAGGGTGGGGGCGCTCCGGGCAGTTAGGAGAGGAGTCATACCTGAGGATGGGAGGGCAAAGATGCAGGAGGGCAGCCCGGGCCCCGCTCACCCGGCACAGACCGCCCTGAGGAGGCCATCACCTGCCCCAGACACTGACCGTCCCTCAGTCCCCAGGCTCTCCGGAAGCAGGCTCTGTCAGCCCAGCTCGTCCCCGGGGCCGGGGGGGGGGGGGGGGGGGCAACACAGCCGTGCTCAGAGGACCTGCTGCTCAAATGAAGGTGCGTGTGACACGGAGCTGTGTCCCAGGAGGAGTCTGGGAACTTATAAAAGGCTCAGACCCACAGGAGGAGGAAGGCCACGCGATCCGCCTCAATGGAGGAGGAAAAAGCCTTGGTACATCCAGTGAATTTCCTTAAAACAGAACAAAGCTGAAAGCCTGGTGTCGTCGTAAACATTAATCTGTTGTTGACGACAGTGTCCCTGTTTCCCTCTGCCCTCCTCCCCTTCGTCATCATCGCCCCCCCCTTGGTGCTTAACGGTTAACGGTGGGAGGGACGGCGTTCTGAGGGCTCCTCACTGGAGCGTCTGTCCTCGCAGACGCAGACTGGGGCCCAGGGAGGGATGCGGACATCGCCATGATGATGGGAGAGCCTGTGGGCCCCGGGGAAGGGAAGGGAGGGATGGCCCTGAGGAGGAGAGACACGCGCTCTGTCAGCGTTTGCGCTAAGACATCGTCTCTGTAGAGAACCCGGGGCCGGTACCACAACCACGTAGAGTGCCGGGGGGGGGGGGGGGGGGTGTCCCGCCGTGGTGCGACTCCCGTGGGGTGACAGCAGCAGGCCCTGCCCTGAGGGTTAATGTTTGAAACTCGTCAGATCGCCCATAGCTAATCCAGTGCAGGTCCATTCTCATTGTATGTATTTGCATTTAAGTAAACTTTTACTGTTTTCAGAGAGGGAGGGGGGAGAGAGAAACTTCAATGCTGAGAGAGAATCATGGACCAGCTGCCTCCTGCATGCCCCACTGGGGACTGAGCCCACAACCCACATGTGCCCTTGACTGGAATCGAACCCGGGCCCTTCAGTCTGCAGTCTGGTGCTCTATCCACTGAGCCAGCCGGGCCAGGGCTGGGTCCGCCTTCCTTTTTTTTTTCTTCTTTTTTTTATTGATTATGGTATCACATAATTGTCCTCATCCCCCCGTTCCCACCCCAAACCTCTCCCCACATATACCCTCATCCCCCTGTTGTCCATGGCCACTGGCCAGGCCCATATGCATGCACACAAGTCCTTTGGTTGATCTCTTCCCCTTACCCCCACCCTCCCCTACTTTCCCTCTGAGGTTTGAGAGTCTGATCGATGCTTCTCCGTCTCTGGGTCTGTTTTTGTTCATCAGTTTATATTGTTCATTATTTCCTCTAGATGTGTGAGATCAGAGATCATGTGATCCAAGAAATACCCTTGAAAGAATCTAAACTGCGACAAGCCATAAAGGTTATGCTGAGAGGCAAATGAATCAGTCTGTAGTGAGTTCCTTTCTGGGCCAACAGTTCTCCTGAGTCCCAATTTCAATGTCAAACAGTTCCTTATGTGTACATGTCAGCCACGCTATTTCAGATCTGGTTGGTGGACAAATGGTGGTGATGCAGGTCCGACCGTCTCTGGTTTGGTCTTGAGGCCACAGCAGTTGGTTGGCTGCTCTCAGGCCCCATGTGCTGGGGCCCAGGGCGGCCTCCGCACCAGTCGGAATGAAGGCTGGCCTCCGGTGAGGCTCCTGCCTGGGCCCGTCACAGCCCAGCCACAGGGCTGGTGGCCTGGCCGGGGCCTCAGCCTGGGAGCCCCCTCTCCCCGCGGAAGGCACAGGGGTGTGCGGCCACAGGGACCTCTGCTCCGTCCTCAGGTGAGCCAGCCCCCAGAGAGCAGACGCCCCACCCGACACTGGAGCCTCAGCATCGAGGAGCGCAGGCAGCGGGTCCTGCAGGACGCCTCGCAGAGCCGGCCCGGCTCCCACAGCGGCCAGGTGCGGGAGGGAGCGGAGCCTGGCCATGGACGCCCGACCCCGCGCCCCGACCCCGTGCCCTGACCCTGCGCCCGACCCCGCGCCCCGACTCCACACCCTGACCCCGCACCCTGACCCCATGCCCTGACCCCGCGCCCTGACCCCATGTCCTGACCCCGCGCCCTGACCCCGTGCCCTGACCCCGCGCCCGACCCCGCGCCCTGACCCCGCGCCCTGACCCCGCACCCTGACCCCGTGCCCTGACCCCGTGCCCTGACCCTGCGCCCGACCCCGTGCCCTGTCCCTGTGCCCTGTCCCTGTGCCCTGACCCCGCGCCCTGACCCCGCACCCTGACCCCGTGCCCTGACCCTGCGCCCGACCCCGTGCCCTGTCCCTGTGCCCTGTCCCTGTGCCCTGACCCCGCGCCCTGACCCCGCACCCTGACCCTGCGCCCGACCCCGTGCCCTGACCCCGTGCCCTGACCCTGTGCCCTGTCCCTGTGCCCTGACCCCGCGCCCTGACCCCGCACCCTGACCCCGTGCCCTGACCCCGCGCCCGACCTCGCGCCCCGACCCCGCGCCCTGTCCCTGTGCCCCCAGGAGATCCTGCAGATGGTGAGACAGCTGGTGTCTGAGGACGTGGACAAGGATGTGCTCATCTTCCAACCGCGGTCGTCCGAGTCCACCTACGCCTTCCACACCTTCCTGACCCGCAGCTCGCCCTTTTGGCACAACATGACCTCGACCTGGGCCTCCAGGTGCCCGCCCTCCTGAGCCACCAGGCCTTTCGGGGCCTCCACACCCCAGGGCCCGGGCCAGCCTCTGCCCCCTCCATCTGCCCACTGCCGGGCTCGCTGGTTCTCTGGTTCCCTGACATTAAATGTGTTCCAGACTGCCTTCCTCAGCCTGGGGGGGCCGCGGGGATGGGGGAGGGGAGGTGTCCTGAGGGGGGACGAGGGGGAGCAGAGGTTTGGGCCGGGCTTTGGAGACCCCGATGGTGAAGGGGGTGGGGTGAGGGCCAGGATGATGCCCTGAACCCGCATCCACGCCAGCGGTCTGAGTGGTGGCAGCGCTGTCCCGTTTCTGAGTGCTCTCAGGCTCCTGGGGGTCACAGGAGACCCAGGTCCCCTGGGTCACACCGCCCCCCGCCCTCCCCGCGGTCTCAGCCTCTGCAGGAGGCCTCCGGGAGCAGGCAAAGCCGTGGGGTTCAGGGTGAGGCCGTAGCTTCTGGGGAAGGGGTGCCACCTCCACGGGCAGCCACGTCCTCTGTCCCCCACAGAGCTGCTTCCTCGTCCACTCCCTGCGGCTCCCAGATTCACGCAGGCCCCCAGGCGGGCCGGGCAGTGTGGGCAGGGCTGCTTCCTCCCCGGAGGTGCAGGGCACCGTCCACTCCGGCTCCCAGCTTCTGGAGCTGCCGCAGCCCTGGGCTCGGGCCTTCCGCCATCTCCCAGTTCCATCTTCCACCTCCCGGCCAGCAGCGTGGCGTCCACCCCCTTCCGCCTCGCTCCTCTCCTGCCTCCTCTGCCCTCTGGACCGTGGCTCACCTGGCTGCTGGGCTCCGGGGAGCAGCCTCCAGCCCCTTGCCCTGAGAGCCAGCAGTTCCAGCTTGGGGGGTCGTGGGCATCTGGGGGGACGGCCCCCCACAGGCTCCAGCTCCCTGGGGGGTGCTACCACCCCCAGGGCGCCCGCAGCCAAGAGTGACCAGACCCCGATGCCCACCGTGCCCAGGGGAGCCCCGAGGGCTCCGTGGCAGACGGCGGACAGCATCAGCCTGGTGAGGACATCACAATCACCGATGACGCAGACGCTGCCTTGGGACCTGCACTTGGCCCTCCACGCCACCGGGGGCCCGCTGTTCCCACTGGCGGCCTCCCCTCGGAGCAAGGCGCTCCGGACACCCCCGGGAGGGAGGACACCCTTCGGCAAGGAGGACGGCCTCTCTGGCAGCCCCTGGTGCTCTGGCACCGTCTGTGCCGTGAGTCAGGCCTGTGTGGAGAAGGGTCAGAGGCCACTGGGGACACCAAGCAGCAAGGGGAGCCCCTCGGCCCGGGCCAGCCACCAGCCACTGCCCCTGAAAATGACCCCTTCGGCTTTGTGAGAACACTCGCTGTTCAACGGTCACAACAGTGTCCTTTTAAGGTGCCTTTTTACTGATGTCAGGGAAGGAGAGGGAGAGAGGAGCATCCCTGATGAGAGAGGACCATGGATCGGCTGCCTCCCGCACGCCCCCCATTGGGGAGCGAGCCCACCACCAGGGCCTGTGCCCCAACCAGGAATCACACCCTGACCCCCCGGTTCAACCCCTGAGCCAGGCTGGCCGGGCGACAGGAACGCTCGTAAGACGCTGCCCACGATTCCGTCACCAAGATGGCCACTGCTGGGGGGGGGAAGGCCCTCACAGTTCCTAGAGGCCGGCAGGGGGTGGCTCACGGAGATGCTGCTGCCAATGGCCCTTAGCTCTGAGGCAGGACTGCGGGAACGAGGTGCATGCTGCTGTGCCCCAATCTTAAAGGTCCTCCCAGACTGCGTGTGGAAATCTCAAAACCAGGAAGGGACAGGAAGGGCACGTGAGCCCAGTTTGAGCAGTGAGGAGCTGGACACCCTGCCCCGGGTGCCCCCCGCCTGAGCCCCCGGGTCCCTGCGCCCCGGATGCTCGGTGCCAGCTCACAGCCCCTCTGCCCTCAGGGCGGTGCTCCACCTCAGAGGCTGGATTTGAGGTCAGCATTTATATATTTACCATTTTTTATTGTTCAAAGTATTACATGTCTCTTTTCTCCCGACCGACCAGCCCTGCCTCTCCCACTCCCACCCACACTGTATGTGTCCACTGGTCATGCTGACGACTGAGGTTTTAATGGCCTCCATAGGGGGGTGCAGGTTAAAGTGTTCTCTGGAGGCCTGTCCACTCCCCGGCCGCTCAGGCTCCGAGGGAGGCAGTACCTGTAGGGGAGCTGCCCTGGGAGCCCTGGATCTGCCTGTGAGCCTCTCCTCAGGCTCCCCTCTATCCGCACCCTCTGCACCAGCCCGTCCTGAGCCACGGCCAGCCGGCCTCCGCCTTCGGGGCAAAGCCGAGTCCGGGCCTGGGGTCCCGGCTGTGGGCCTGGTCCCCTCGCCCCCAGGGACAGGCCCTGAGGCCTCCTCCGCCTCTTGAGCTGCAGGCCCTGTGTCCCCCACCATCCACTCCTCCCGGGCAGGCTCCTGCTGCCCGTGCCCGCTGCTGCCCGTGCCCGCTGTGAGATGGTCCAGCCCTCACGCCCGCCTCCCCACCTGCTCCGTTGACCTGCGGCTGTGGCCGGGCCTTTAAGGTCATCCCGGACCGGACCAGATTGGACTGGGCCTGCCCTGCACAGCTCTGGGCCGAGGAGCTGGCCGGGAGGAGTGACCAGGCAGAGGGGGCCTGTGCTGTCCCCTGGGGCTGCCAGCATCGCTGCTGCTCTGTGGGGGCCACCTCCTCCCTCCGGGGGGACTGGGCCTCGGGGGGCTTCCCACAGACACTGGACCCCACCGCCCTGGACGGAGGGGAACCGGGCTCCCTCCCCGGCGGGGGTGCAGTGCCCACACTGTCCCTGTGGTCAGGGTGCAGGTGTTGGGAGAAGAGGAGACACAGGCCCCGCAGGGGGACGGAGGGGAGCTTCCCCCACCCCCCATATCCCCCTGGGCTTCCCCCTGAGCCCCATCCATCAGCCCCTACACCCCTCGGATGACCCCCCGCCCTTGGGGACACCCCCTCCCCCGGGGCCTCCGGGGATCTGTGCTGGGGCCACCCTGGTGGGCGCCTGGGGGCTCCTCCGTGTTCCTCGCACCCGACCCGGCCCTCCGGCCCCCACAGTGCGGGGCGCCCCCTCCACGTCCCTGGCTCCCCGCAACCCGGAGCCCAGCCCTCGAACCCGGGCACGGGGAACCTGAGCACAGGGGGAGGGGAGACGGGGGTGGGGGGGGTCCTGGCCGGGGGAGGGGCGGAGGCCGGCGGCGGAGGCGGCGGGAGAGGCCCCGCCCCCGCGGCGCCCCGCCTCTTCCTCTCCCGCCCGCGGCCTCGGTCCCTGGCGGCCTCCGCGGCGGCGGCGGCGGCGGCAGCGGCCCCTTTAACCCGCCCGCCCGCGCCCCGCGCCCCGCCCGCCGCCCGCGCCTCCATCTTCCCGGCCGCCGTCCCGCTCCGGCCGCTCGGCCGCGCCGGGGACATGGCGGCCAACATGTACCGGGTCGGAGGTAAGCGCCCGCCGCCGCGCCGCCGGCCCACCTGTTGGGGCCTGTGGCCGCGGGGCCGCATCCCGGGGCCGGGCCGGGCCGAGCGCCGAGCACGTGGCCGCCCGGGCCAGCGGGTCCCCGCGGCCGGCGGGGCGGCGGGGCCGCGGCCTGCGATGGGCGCCCGGCCTGCCCGGGCCGCCGCCCGCCCCGCGGCCCCCGCGGCCCGGGCCCCGCAGGCCGCGGCCCCGCTCCCGCCTCCGCCCCCGCGGCGCCGTGCGGCCGGGGCCGCTCCCCGCTGCGGCCGGACCTGGCCCCCGCCGCGCGGTGCGGGCTCGGAGCGGCCCCGGGCCTCGGGGAGGGGTGCCCGGTGCCCCCGCGCCCTCAGCGCCCGCGCTGGCGGGTGTCCCCCGGCCGCCCACCCCTGGGTGCGGGGTCCGCTCTCCGCCGGCCCCCGCCCTCTGGCTGAGGGGGCGCCGGGATGGGGCCTGCACCCTCTTAGGAGCAGGCCTGTTCCCCCACTTTGGGGGGAAGCAGGAGAGTCATCCCCAAGGGTGCTCCTCCCCGCACCCCAGGGAACCCCTCACAGCTCCGAGGACCTGGCCTCGGGGTTCCCCGTCCTGCTGCCCCCCCTCCATGTCACCCCTCTCCATGCCGCCCCCCTATACCCCCCCTCATGCCTCCCCGTGCACCCCCCTGGGCCCCCTCCGGCCTGGCCTGAGGCCCCGTGGCTCCTGCTGACGTGACAGGGCCCTGGGCTCCAGCCCACACCCACAGCCCACCTGCCACCCCTGGGTCTCCAGCCAGAACCCCCTCTTGCAGGTGCTCCCCTCCCCCAGCCTGGCGCTGGTGCTGAGTGAATGAATGAGTGAGTGAAGGAGCATCCCTCCCCGGGGAGATGCTGGGGCCCAGGGAGGGCTGGTGCTGGGCCCTACGCTGCCCTGTGCCTGCCTGGGTGTGGGGGTGGCTCAGGGTCTCCCCTCCGCGGGGGGTACAGCCCTGGCCTGTGGGTCTGTCTGGCTGAGAACTCGGTGGGGGCCTGACCAACCCCCAGACCTTCCTGTGCCTCGGTTTCCCGCGGTGTGCACAGGGGAGGCCTGTCCAGCCCCAGGTGTGCGTGTCCCCCCTCGGAGGTGTCCTGGGGTCCCCTCCCTCCCGAGTGGCCCCTTGGAGATCCCCGTGGGAGATGCTGTGTGTTGCCAGGTTCTGAGTGGGAGCCGGGCGCCGAGGCCGGTCCGGTGCTGGAGGTCAGGGCGGGCGGGCAGGGGGGCAGCCGGCAGGTGAACGTCCTGTGTTTGTCCTCTGGAAGCCGGCCCCTCCGTCCCCGCGTGGATCCCGGCCTGGGGTTTGGCCCTCGCTGGCAGCGCGGCCTGTCCTGGGGGAGCCTATTGTCTCCACCTGGGACCCCGAGAACAGGACCCTCTCTGAAGGAGCCATGTCCGACAAGGAGAGCCCGGCACAGCAGCTAAACTGGTTTCCGATAAACAGCTCCTTGGCCCCATCTCCCGAATATCACCCCAGCGGCCACGAACGCTAAACGCCCGGCAGGAGCCAGGGCCCGGGACGAGGCCCGATGGGCGAAGGCGTGGCTGCAGCCCGGTGCCCGCAGCCCAGCTGGAGGCAGTGGGTCCGCCCGGGAGGGCACGGCCTGGCTCCTCCAGGGAAGTGACCTGCCGTGGCCGAGCCAGCCGGGCGGCTGCCCGTGTGCGGGCGAGTGGCCCGGGCAGGGCCGACGGGGCAGGTCCTCCCCGGCTCCCCGGCCCGGCCTCCCGAGGGCCAGGCCCCCGCAGGCTCCCGGCTGCAGCCACTGGGCCGTGTCCCTGTCACCGTTGCATGTTTCCTCTTCTCTCGTGTCCGGTGGGACGGATGCCCGTCCTGGGTAGTTTGTTCTTTTAAAACACACTTGGCGGAGGTGCCAGGAGACCCTGCCACAGACAGCGGGTTCGGGGCGCCCGCGGTGGACTGTGCCCCGCGGCCCTCCTTACGTCATCGTCCCTGCCGGCTCTCAGACCACTTTTGCTTTGTCGTTTGTTTTAAACTTTGGACCAGGGGAGGCTCTGTGTGCTGAGTCCCCGCTCAGAGCTGCTGCAGGCAGGGCCCGGCCACGGAGCCCGGCCACGGAGCCCGGCCACGGAGCCCCGGGCCTCACGGGGAGGGGTGGCCTTTCAGCTCCCGGGTTAGAAGCAGCAGCTGCCGTTGGAGTGGGGAGCATGCCCTGGTCAGGAGGCTTAGGGTTCAGGTGCCTCTGGGTCCTGCCGGGCCAGGTGGGCGCCCTGGGGAGTGGGGATGGCACCGCTGTCCTGGGCTGGGGTGCTACTGCGTTTTCACAGTGGGGGTGCGGTTGGGGCTGGGGTTGGGGGACTCTGGCTGCCAGGGTTGGGGTGTGGCCTTGGGGAGGGCCTGTTGGGTGGCTGCCAGGCTGGGTCCTAGGCGGGGCTCCTCAGGTGCCCACAGGGTGCTGCCTGCTCTCATGCCCGCCGGGGCCCTGCACTCCCTGGTTTCAGGCCAGTGGGTCTCGATCTTCCTCCCAGGACGGGTGCCATGTGTGCCCCTCGTGTGGGACCCGCCTGCCTTGGGGCCTCTGAGTGCCCGGCTCCCCTGTTTTAACTGCATCACGGCTTCGGCTCAGAGGACATGACACTGCCGGCTCCGCCACCCCGTCGGCCGGGCCGGGGCCCCGATGGGGTTGGAACCCGGCTCCGGGGAGGGCTCCACACTCGGCTCCGGCCTGCCCCGCTCTCCGTTCCTCCCCGTGGACGAGTCCATGCGTGTGGACTGCGGTCTGTTCAGCGGCAGAGGGACGTTGGGTGCCGTCGCGCTCGGGCTGGCCTGGTGGTGCCGTGGCCTCGGGGGAGCACCCGGGGAACAGGTCACCTCTGGAGGCCGAGCATCCGGCCGCCGACCCTGTCCGGTGGGGAGCGGCTCCTGGGTCAGGGAGCACTTTTGTCTATTTCTTTATTGATGTCAGAGAGGGAGGGAGGAGGGGGAGAGACATCCATGATGAGAGGAGCTCTGGTCCCTGCCTCCTGCCCGCCCCCCACGGGGGGTGATGCCCACACTCGGGCTGTGCTCTGACTTGGGTCAACCCTGACCTCCTGGTTCCTAGGTCGATGCTCAGCCCGAGCCCCGCCGCTGGGCCAGTGCAGGGAGCGCTTTGACGTGAGGGACGGTGACCTCTGTGGGCGCCACCTCCTGGCCTGACCCCCCGGGAGGCCCACGGCTCTGGGTGACCCCGGCTCCGGGTGATTCCGGCTCTGGGCGATCCCGGCTCTGGGTGTGGCTCTGGGTGGTCCCGGCTCTGACCCTAGGAGAGCCGAGCTCGGTTCTCATGGGGACGCGGGGTCTCGCTCCCTGTGCAGTGGGGGGGTTTGTGTGAGGGCCTGAGCGGCCCTCCCTCCCCCAGCCGGCCTCGGGCAGTGGGGACGCTCACCCCGCCCCGTCTGGACCCGGTCACTTCCTGTCCGCACAGCATTCTGCCAGGAGCGTGGGCATCACCACCGGCCACTCCGTGGCCCGGTGATAGGGCGTCCTCCTGTGTTTTTATTTTTCATTATCTTCTTTTTTTTTTTTTTTTAATATATTTTATTGATTTTGTACAGAGAGGAAGGGATAGAGATAGAGAGCCAGAAACGTCGATGAGAGAGAGTCATCGATCAGCTGCCTCTTGCACACCCCCTACTGGGGATGTGCCCGCAACCAAGATACATGCCCTTGACTGGAATCGAACCCGGGTCCCTTCAGTCCCACTCTATCCAATGAGCCAAACTGGTTCCGGCTATTTTTCATTATCTTCTAATCCTCACTGAGGGGATGCTGTGTTTAGAGAGGATGGGCCGGGAGGGTCGGGACATCCATGTGACAGAGAAATGTAGCCTGGTGGTCTCGTACATGCCCCCACCGGGGACTGAACCCCCAGCTCGGGCGGGTGCCCTGACCAGGAATCCAGCCTGTAGCCTTGGGGCACACGGACAGACGGACGGACAAGTGGACGGATGATGCTCCAGCAGATCGAGCCCCCAGCCAGAGCTCATGTGTTGTTGTTTTTTGAAAATTTTTTTTATTGATTTCAGGGAGAGCTAGAAACATCGATGATAAGAGAGAACCATTGATCAGCTGCCTCCTGCACGCCCCACACTGGGGATGGAGCCCACAGCCGAGCAGGTGCCCTGGCTGGGAATGGAACTGGGACCTCCTGTTTCGTAGGTCCATGCTCAGCCCCTGAGCCACGCCGGCCAGCAGGGCTCCTGTGTTTTTATTTGCCGGCCGTGTGTCTTGGCGAAGTGTCTGCATAAAATCTCTGGCCTGTTTTTTAAAATTGGGTGATTTTCTTTCTTTCCTTCTCCCCTCCCTTCCTTTTTACAGTTTGCAGTGGATGTTATTTTATATTAGTTCCGGGGGTACGGCATAATGGGGTACGGCACAGTGGGGGTACGGCACAGCTATCTATCTATCTATCTATCTATCTATCTATCGTTGAATAAGCAAATTGTCCCCACGGGAGTTCCACCAGGAGTTCGATCGCTCGCTATGACGTGTGCTGACCACCAGGGTTGGTGTGGAACTAAGGAAGGCCGTGATCGCCGGCCAGGCTTGGGGACCACCCTGTGCACGGGTTTCGAGCACCAGGCCTCTGGTCTGTCTGTATAAAAGGCAGATACGTGCTCAGTGTCCTTCCTGCCGTCTGGTGGTCGCTGTGACATGCACTGACCACCAGGGCGCAGATGCCTAACACAGGCGCTGCCGAACTGCAGGGACATGGTGGCGGCGGCTCTCGGGTGAGGCACCACCCCGAAACCAGGGAGGAGGGACCCCGATTCCTCACGGGGCTGCGGGTCCACCTTTGGCTGGGACGCCGTCGCCCGAGTCTGGTTACTGCTCACTGTGTTTGCGTTCCACACCCTGTAGGACGCACTTTGCAGAGGGCCCTCTCGCACTCCGGACCCCGGCGGGGGGAGAAGGGGGGTTGGACAGCCGGTTTCAGCCCGATCCCCGCAGCCAGGCCGTAGGGACTGTGGAAGGTTGAG